GGGAGGGGAGTCCCTTCTTACGGCTGGTGAAACAGGTCAATGTTAAGAAGTGAGGGAGGGGTTCACATCCGGCCTGGGCTGGCACAGGCCTCCTGGGAAATGGCTGGAATCTCAGGGCGCTGTTTCCTTAAGAACCACCAAGTTAAGATCAGTGAGGTGCTTCTGGGATGGGAGCTGCAGCTGCTCTGTATCAAGGTGACCCACCGCTCCTTGGCTCTGACCTGCAGCGGCTCTCCCTGCCCTGGGTGTGATGGGGGCGAACAGCCTCTGTGTGGCGGGAAAGCTGTGCATAATGGATTTCCTGTCCGGTCTCCTTCTCCACAGGAAGCGTAGTGCAGCAGGCTGAAAAATACCCCTCAGATACCTCTGGGACCTGTGATGTTACCTTCTATGGTAACAGGGACTTTGCAGATGTGATTAAACAAGATGTCGAGATGGGAGGTGATCCTGGATTGTCTAGGCAGGCCTTAAATGGGTCCTTACAAACGGGAGGCAGAGGGAGAGCCTGTGACCATCAGAGGAGAAGGTGGATGTGAAGATGGAGCACAGAAAGATACAGGAAGGTGCCACAAGCCCAGCAATGCAGTTCTAGAAGCTAGAAAAGGCAAGAAAATAAATTCTTCCTTCCAGCCTCTACATGGAGCTGGGCCTGCTGACACCTCAGCCCGGTGAAGCCCACTTTGGACTTCCAACCTCCAGAACTGTAAGAGAATAAATGTGTTTTCTTTAAGCCACCAAGTTGTGGTCATCTGTTACAGCAGTTACAGGAAATGAATACACATGGGATTAGACAAAAGTCTGTTATGGCCTGTGAGTTTGGTGGCCCTGAAGGTCACAGTTGCTGCCCCGAGACAGAGGAGGATGCACAGTCTGGGAGGAAGGATGTCTTCTGAACACTGCAGCGAGTCCAGAGTCTCTGAACCACCACCAAGACCAAGGCCAGAGGGAGAAGGAGTAGGGGCACAGGGACCCTGGAAGCAAAGAGACTGCAAGGGTGCTTACATGCTCTTCCCCAGGTGTGGGAAGGCGAGAAAAAGCAAGTAACCACAAGGTCGGGCTTGGCGGGAAAGGAAGCCACACACGTTTGGTTATTCTGTTAGGGCAGGTGCACAATCTGCCTTCTAGGTAATGTCACTAGTTGTCCCCTCTTCTTAGCGGTTTCTCTTACCACAGTTCCAGTTACCTGCAGTCAACTGTGGTCCGAAAATATTAAATGGAAAATTCTAGAAATAAGCAATTCCTAAGTTTTAATTCGCACACTGTTCCGAGTAGTGTGAGGAAATCTTGAGCCATCCCACTCCATCCTTCCTGGGATGCGAATCGTCCCTTTGTCCATTGTTTCCACGCTGTAATGCTCCCTGCCCATTAGTCACTTAGTGGCCATCTCAGTTATCATCTCAGACTGACTGTTATGATATTGCAGTGCCTATGTTCAAGTCACCCTTATTTTACTTAGTAATGGCCCCAAAGTGCAAGAGTAATGATACTGGCAATTCAGATATGCCACAGAGAAGCCAGAAAGTGCTTCCTTTAAGTGAAAAGGTGAAAGTTCTAGACTTAATAAGGAAAGAAAAAAGTATCGCCTGCTGAGGTTGCTAAGATCTATGGTGAGAACAAATCTTCTATCCATGAAATTGCCTAATTTATAAATTAAACTTTATTATAGGTAGTATCTATGAAAAAAAGTAAATATAGGGTTTGGTACTCTCCATGGTTTCAGGTATCTATTGGGGGTCTTAGAATGTATGGATAAGGAGGGACCACTGTTACTTATCAGTGCTAGCTGCTTTAATGACCAATTATTTTTGGTTAAAAATGAGGGGAAGTCTATTAATGTATAACTTTGTAAATTTATAAAACACTTATGTACTGGGCCCTGTCCCAGTTACTTTGCAAAGTTGTGGCTCAGTTGATCCTCAAAACAACTTTCTCAGGCAGGCACTATTGTACCTATGACAGAGAGGAAACTGAACCACAGAGAAGCAAAGTCGCCTGCCAAGCTCACCATGGCGAAAAGCAGGGCCAGAGTACACACACAGACTCTTGAGGTCTTAAGCCACAGCCACCCTTTGGTGAACACACTTCTGGCTGAAGCTCTGCCCACCCTGGCAGGCCAGTGGCGACCTCCCTGCCACCCTACTCAGCAAAGACTTTCTTATCACCTGCCGTCTGGCCCTCTCCAAGGCCCTGGGGATGCTGGCATAAGCAGAATAGCCCCAAGTGCCTGCTCTCAGCAAGCTTACGTGGATGCAGGATAAGCAAGATAAATGAATAAAATACGATAGGCTGGACAGCAGAAAGTGCTGAGGGGGAAAACATAAAGCAGAGATATATGAAACGTTAGAGGAGGGGTTTAAAATTTTAGATAGAATGGTTGGGGAAGGTCTCCCAGAGCGGGAGACTCAAAGGTCCTGAGGCAGGAGTGTGCTTGGAGGGTTTGGTGACAGCTATAGTAACAAAGGGGAAAGCTAAAAATGGTGGTATGATTCGGTGCGGTAGTAGTAGGGATGAAAGAAGGGGCTGAATGCCAGCGTCTTCCCAGGCTTGTCCAGATGGCGTCTGCAATGGTGTAGATACAGCCTGTCACCTAGCCTCTGCTCTGGCCTTGACTTCTGCTCCACTCTGGACTGTTACACCCATGGCTTATGCCTTGGTACTGCATGCCCATCCCGGGAGTCGGGGACCTATTTTGAGGACAAGTTCATTATTGTGGCCCTTTACTCAAGTGACTTCCTGGTACTGCCTGGCACATATCCAGTGCGGAGCCTGCCGTCATGCCCCTGCCCTGAAAACCCCACTGCTGTCTGCTCTACCCGCTAGGTGGCCCTGAGAGCCCAGCCTGCTCTCTGCAGGCCTCAAACACTGACCACACCCCTCTTTTGCCCCAAGAAGACGGGAATTCTCAGCTGGGAATAGACTCCCACTTGCTCATCAGACCTAGGAGGGGTCATCATGCCTCAGGCTCCGGCCCAGAGTAGGGCAGGATAAACGAAGGGAGCAATTATCAGGCCACTTCCCTGGCTTTGGAGGTGACAGGTGCCACTCCTGCCAGGCTGGGATCAGTGCCAGGCACTGTGGGATCATGGTAGGAGGAAGTGAGGGCCACATGGCAGATATGCAGGGGAATCTGCTCGTACTGTGACATGGCCCTAGGAAGTGGCCACATACCCATTGCTGCCTCAGGGCCTGTCTGTGTCATCAGTTTCCTCACTGTCCCCTCCTGGTCACTGAGCCATGTGGCCAGTCCCTCAATGGGCTATCCTGCCCGCCTTAAGCACAGTCTCCATCTTTTCCTGACTGTGGTGGGGGAGGAAGGCAGGCGCCTGTCCGCTTTCCCACCCCTCTACCAGGAGACTTCTTTTTGCCTCTGCCCTTCAGACCTAGGAGGGGTCATCATGCCTCAGGCTCCGGCCCAGAGTAGGGCAGGATAAACGAAGGGAGCAATTATCAGGCCACTTCCCTGGCTTTGGAGGTGACAGGTGCCACTCCTGCCAGGCTGGGATCAGTGCCAGGCACTGTGGGATCATGGTAGGAGGAAGTGAGGGCCACATGGCAGATATGCAGGGGAATCTGCTCGTACTGTGACATGGCCTTAGGAAGTGGCCACATACCCATTGCTGCCTCAGGGCCTGTCTGTGTCATCAGTTTCCTCACTGTCCCATCCTGGTCATTGAGCCATGTGGCCAGTCCCTCAATGGGCAGGACTTAAGCACAGTCTCCATCTTTTTCTGACTGTGGTGGGGGAGGAAGGCAGGTGCCTGTCCGCTTTCCCACCCCGCTACCAGGAGACTTCTTTTCGCCTCTGCCCCACCTCCCCACAATCCACTTGGTACTGCAGCTCTCTAGCTGTGTGGCCTTGAGGGAGTTGTCACAGCTCCAGGCCCTGCTTTCCTCCCCTATAAGCAGGCATCTCTGCAGCGGTGGAACATTCACTGAGTGAAACTGAGACACAGGCGCAGGGGTGGAGGAAGGGCCCAGCAAAACCATCTTCCCAGTCTCCCTGTCCTGTCCCGCGGGGCCAGCCCTCTGGATACCAGGTCTCAGCCCCCTCCAGGACTCTGAGGCTTTGGCCTCTGTGTCCCCCACCCTGGTAGAGTCCCCTCTCCTGAGGCAGTACACCAGACTCCCAGACTGTGGATGCGCCCTCTTGCAGGCTGGGGGCTCCCGGCCTCTGACATCCTGTCCCTCCAGCAGGTGAGCAGGCCTTACCTCCAGGCCATGGCTTATTTTCTAACTTCAGGCTGGCCAGTTCTGCCATCATGACCTTTGCTAAGGAAGCTGGGCCATCGGCCACCACGGGCAGCCCCCAGGGACTCTCTGTAAGGGGAAAATGAAAAAAGGAAGTATGAATCTCCAGGCATAAATATTCTACATGTTATTGTGTCCTCTGGGAAAGAGGGTGTGGAATGACAATGAAAGGCACTTTGGAAGGGAAGAGGGACACAGGGGCCTGGCCTCAGGAGTGACCGGGAACTCCCAGCCACAGGTGCAAAGCCAACAAGGCGAGTCTGTGGCCTTGGTGCCAAGCATGCTTCCTGTGCCTCACAAGTATTGATTTATGGCATTTTCACTGGCGTTTCCTGTGAAGCGGGCCCTGACTTTTCCTATCTAGAGAGGAGGGAAGCCAAGGCTGGGCTGCGCCCACTTCTGACAAGTTTCCCCACCTGGCTGCCCTGGCACCACCCAGCGACTCTGATAATCCTGCCATTGACCTGGATTTAGTTGTCCCAGGGGCAGAGGAGGACTGGACACTGGCAGGTGTTGAGAGCTCTCAGGTGATGCCCATGTACTGCCAGGTGGAAAGCCTGCCTGTCCTGGCTCGGTGCGCTGGCTTACTCGGCTTTGCCAGCCCTTACTTCTCTCGCAGTGTTACTTATCTGACATCTATTGAGCTCCTACCCCAAGCCAGGCACTGAGCTGGGGCGGGGGTTGGAGACAAGTGAATGATTAAACAAGCAAGTCCAGTAAGGCAAGTGGGGCAGATTAGTGTGGGGTGCAAGAGATGCTGGGAGCACCCTGGGGCAGGAGGGTGCTAGAGTCAGGGGTCTTGTAGGCTGAAATCCAGAGGAACCCTCACCAGTTGTGGTTACTGAGCAGTGGGGTGAGTAAGAAGGAAAGAACGTTCTAGGTTAGAGAGCCTTCAGGTGTCATCCCTGGACCAGCTGCATCAGTGTCACCTGGGAACTTGTTAGAAATGTAGCTTCCTAGGCCCCAGCTCTACTGAATCAGAAACTCTGAGGGTGGGGCCCAGCTTTCTGTGTTCTGCCAGCCCTGTGAGTGATCCTGAGGCGATTTCAAAGCTTTAGAACTGCTCTTGGCAAAAAATAACTAAAAGCAGG